TGTTACACACACACATATATATTCATATATATATATATATATATATATATATATATATATATATATATTCACAAAAATAAAACAAATAGGTTATGTAAATTAGCCAGCGAAAAATGTAAATTTTTATTGTAACTAGGCCTGTCGCAATAATCAATATATCGACTTATGACGCAATATATGTACATGACCTCAATAATTTTTGGTGACGCAATAGTATTTGGATAAATTTATATTTACATATGATTATATATATTTTATTCACAAAAAAAAAAAAGAAGAACTTGCCAATTACCATTATGACTTTCAATTAACCAAGAAAAGATTTTAAACGAATGATGATGAAGACCTTTTTTTTTTTGGCCAAATTTCACTCAAATTTTCATAGGTAAGGATATATATCAAACAAGCAATTAACATTGTTTTAAATACTGATTTTTTTTCTCTTTTTAAACTGCAAAATCAGTCATAGCTTGGCATCTTTCAGGCAAATATTTATTATGCCCACGAAAACATGCTTGAAATATTCTTCTGAAGTTTAAAGGGATTGAATCTCATAAGAGAGTATAAGAGTATGTCTTAACCCCTGGAGAGTGGCGCTGGTCTTACGCCCAGATTGACTAGCAGAAGGACTCACCCCATCTGAACTGCATCACATGACCAGACGGGTCAGGCCTTCGGGGAGATTACTGCTAGTATGCAGCTTTAAAATCCAGACAGACACCCCCACCACCCTTCTCCTTAATACCCAAACCTGAGTACCACGACCCCTCACACGGCTTTCACTCAGCGTGCCGCATCTGAAGGCATTCATCAATCCTTCAAACTCTAAAAACATCCACGAACACCAGCGGCTTTTTGAATGCTTGTTCTGAAATGGTTTAAAATTCTACCAGAAAATGGAAACGTTTAGAGTTTCTTAAATTTACATACTCAAGTGACCATTATCTAAACATAAGGATCTTAGTCGATCAAAGCCAAATGCTTATGTCAACTGTTGAGTCTTTTTATCTCAGCTCATATTTTCTTGTCCTTTAATTTCAAAGAGTTTTATCGTGTTGTGTGAGTTTGTGGAAGTGGCTCTCTGAGGTCAGGCCAGGGTCTGATCTCGTGGAGCAGACAAAAGCACCAGGATGTTCCTGAACAAAAGGCCACTTCCTGTAAGATGTCTGGGTTCTCTGTCGCTATGCAAACAGTAGCTGGCTTAAAAAACCCCCCCAAAAAAAACAATTATAGCATTTGAACCTTTATCATTACATCTGTATTTGGTTCTTAGTTCGCTATAATAACTATTTAAACTTTAGTTCCAGGTATAAGAAACGAAGAAAGAAATCAAGTACACTATGGTTCAAAAGTTTGAGGGCAGTGAGACATTATTTATTTTATTTTATTGATTGATTGAAAGAAATAAAGTAACAAAGGAGTAATGGCTGTTAAAAACTCAGATTTGTTATAAAAGGAATAAATTACATTTTAAGATATATTAAAATAGAAATTAGTTTTTTTTTAATTGTAATGATATTTTGACAGTACTCCTGTTTTTACTATATTTTGTTCAAACAACTGCAACCTTGATGTTTTCTTTCAAAAACATTTGATAAATCTTATCGACCCCAAATGTTTAAACAGTAGTGTACATCAACCTTTCCTGATACATGTATTTTCAAAAGATTTTTTTTTTCCTCTTGTTGCAGTTTTTAAGACTTTTATAGGTTAAAGCTGCTAACTTCGACTTCTCAACACACGTCCCCCTGGACCGAAGACAGGTGCGTTTAACACTGGTACATGTCAAACAGATCATTTCAAGTAGCTGATTGCAGATAGAAGAATTAGACCGGGAAGCCGGCCTAGTGTTTTGATGCATGCTCTGGCCTAGATGGACAGGCCTATAGTTCTGTTAGAGAATATCATGCTCTTTGTCAATGATAAATTCCTATCAGCCAACCGCACTCAAACCCACATGCAGATATATGTCCATAGTTCATCATCATCATAAAAATAAAAAGGTTAGCCATGATTTGACTAATCCATGTGACTCGTGACTTGTGAAATAAAATGGAATATGAATATAATAAAATGATCTAAAAATATTATACTTTATATTGTATTTTCAGAAAAAATGACTAAAACTTAAATAAAAATGAAATCTATATAGAATTATATAAAAAAACACAAATGATCAAATTACATAAAATTACTAATTCTTAAAATTAAAATGAGATCTGAAAATATAAATATGAAAGCTAATTTAATGAATATAAATAATACTAAAGCAACACTGATTTGCTAATAAAACCATGGTCATGAAAAGAACTGTGTGAAGATCCCTCAAAATTTCCAAGGAATTATCGGTTTGAAATGAAAGTTAAGGTAATGACTTTTCTTTTTTAATTTTAAGGTGAACTATTCATTCAAACTTAATGCTAAATTACTAAGTAAGTGATATTACTTCTCACATAAGCAATGTATTTCTATAACATAAGCTGCACATCTGATTTTCACTATATGATCAACAGACTCGGTTCACGCAAAACTACAATATAAAATCTTGTTTCTTTTTTTTTAATTTTCAGCTTTATTTAAACTTAATGCACAATTACTAAGTAAGTGATATTACTTTAATAAAAAATAAACAATTTATTAAATAAACAAGAGGAAAAGATATTGAAAACAATTAGCTGCACATCTGATTTTTGCGAACAGACTCGGTTCATGCTGAACTACAATATATAAAATCCTCTTTTTTTTAATATCTCAGTGACAATTTCAAGAAAAAAGATCCTGGTGTGAAGATGTATTTGATTCCCAGAGTGTGTCTGCGCATGATGTATTCCCATCAATACAGCCACCGCCATGTCTATCTGCATCAGCGCTTTCTGATTTCTTTATGCTTTTCTCCTCTTTTTCTCACACCCGTCCTCTCGCTGTCTCCCTTTCCGGCCCTTCCTCTGTCACCATTTGTCTCTGTGTCTCAAAGTATGCCATTACTGTCTCCATCTGTCCATCAAGATAGCTTTATGGATATCTTTCTTTTCTTTTAGACCGCTTTCTCTCCGTTTTCACTCTCGGGAATGAGTCAGCAGCGCTCGAGGCGAACGGCCGGTCTGCCCTCACGATATTCAGCGAACGGCTGACTTATGTTACACATTCGATGGTGTGACAATATGGTAATACAAATTAGCCGGCTTCTCAAATTTCTTGGCCAGATGAGGCACATGCCACACCAGGGCCACCCAAATGCTTTTATAGCAAGACCTAACGCTGCCGGTCAGACTGACCACCTTACGGCCATCTGTGTGTGTGTGTGTTGAGTTATCAGTATCCAACCGCCGGGCCCCTCCTCCCCGTTTCCCACAAGACCCCATGCTGTCACAACAGACATTTAGCAGCTTTCACGCTAAAGGGCCACGGGGGGCTTGCTTCCTTCCTTCTCCACTTCCTCCTTCTGTTTTCCGCTTCCCCACTGTCTGTTTCACTATATTTTGCGGGATGCCCTCTACAACGCCTTCTTTAACTTTATTTCACAGCTAATTATAGACAAAAACAAGACAGCACAAGAGGTGAATCTCACAATGGCTCTTAAGAGGGAAAAAACACACAGGAAAACAGAGTCTAAGGGGCAAGACGTAAAAATAGAAAATGCCAGGAAGCATTAAAGATGTTGTGCGGGATAATTATAGTTCAGGGCCATTTTATCTTTTTAGATGGATGCTAGGAAAACAGGAAGTAGGGCAGAGGTGCAGCTAAATGGGCTGCCCAATAGAGCGCGAGGCTAGCGATTCCCACAGCAGCGCTAGAAAAACACAGGTTCCAAGAGGATCAGAGCATCCGAGGAAATTCAAACACACGGGGATGGAGTATGGGAATGACGCGGAGGTGCTTTCTCAGGCCGCTTGTTTACTAGTGCGCAGTGGCACAGAAATGTCATCAAAAGAGCTTTAGAAGTTCATGTGGATTCAAAATGTCATATTTACAGTACTTTAAAGGGATAGTTCACCCAAAAATGAAAATTCTGTCAATATTTACTCCTCTATTTACCCTCATGTCGTTCCAAACCCGCAAGATCTCCGTTCATCTTCGGAACACAAATTAAGATATTTTTGAAGGAATCTGAGTGCTCTCTGACCCTCCCATAGACAGCAAGGGTCCTTACACGATCAAGGTCCAGAAACGTAGCAAGGAGATCAGTAAAATAATCCATGTGAAATCAGGGGTTCAACCGTAATTTTACGAAGCTACGAGAGTACTTTTTGAGCGAAAAAAAAAAACGACTTTATTCAACAATTCGTCTCCTCCGCATCACCCTAGCGCCATTTTGGAGAGTATCCACTGAACGTAAACTGCGTATGCTGTTTTGTGAAAGCTGCGTCATGCGGATACGCTGTTTACGCCGTTTATTTAAGGTGCACAGATTTTAACGAAAACAACATATCCGCATGGCGTAAAATATATGTTTGACATTGTCAAACACTGATAAACAAACATAAATCTTCAAAAACAGAATGATGATGACGACAATGATGACAAATACAGAAAACAAAGCAAAGGAGTGACTGTCAACAATATGCAATTTTGATTGAAGTAATTGATCTTAAAATGTAAAACCACAAGAAATCAATGCGGAACTTACCATGGCGCGCCATATATTCGATAGCCCTTGACGGTGACGTCAGAGTCCTGCAGGTAAACACAGTTTGTCAGGAGAGACTGAACATTGTCAAAGTCCTCGGGTTTCAACTTGGACACGGAGGGAAAGCGATAGTAATCCTGCTTGACCAGCTCCGCCATGAAATCCTTATCGAAGGTCAGCTCATGATTCCCTGCGATCACCACTTTAAACTCGTACGGCAGGCCACCTGCAACACCATAAAAAACATACATGTTAAAACAGAACATTAACCCTAGATTTTCTTATTCAACAAATAATGGCAACTAAAGCACTGGTTTGGCAGAACTGTGACAATATATAAGTTGACATTTTTACAATAGTAGTGCAACCTAACCAAATCTCATTGGTCCAAAATCCTATAGGCTACCCCATAACTGCATATCTTCGGGTTGGACATTGTTGCACACTAGTTTGCATTCACCACTGACAGACATATTTCTTGTCAATGGAACTCACGTCTGGTCACATCTGAATTCATCACAAAAAATGCTCTGTTGAAGTTCATGTGAGGTTATTGCGATCCTGAGGAAAAGTCAGATAATGAAAAACAGGACTCTGCAAGTAGAAACAGGTCATTACAACAAAACATCTTTCTTTACCTCTCTATTCAGGCTACTGTCTATTCTCAAACAACGATATGGCTGGATATTGACTACAAGAACCTAAAGCTAAAACATATCAGAAAGACTTTTAGTCAAGGATAAAGGTACTGTCTGTGTCTTCCAAGCCACTATGGCCTTTCTTTTTCCTTCTACAGAAAGTACGGCAAAACTCAAAGGCCACCAAACATTTATTAAAGTCACGGCCGCCTCGTTTTCGCTTTTGTCTTCCTCACTTCAGCCTCCATCGTCACAGCAAAGCTCTTTTGTGCTGGTACATCAGGAAAATGCAACAGGGGAAGTTGTTCTTCACAGAACTCAAACAAAAAGAGCGACCCTCTCTCTCTATATGCCAATCCTTAGACAGGAAAACACACAGACCGTCTCTCAGTGGATTGCATAACACACAAGGAAGGCTTCAAATGCGGAGTGTGTTTGAGAACAAAACAAATCACAATATTTCACCTACCAAAGCAGATGAAACAAGGTGCTTTTCAAAGCAAAATGGGACTAAAAATGAAAAAGCAAAGACATAATAAAAGTCAAAATCCGGTGTGATCAGAAGCTCTATAATAAAATATGTCTGAAGGTGCTCTTCGCAGCCCATTATCTGTTCTCTTTTATGAAAGAGAACAGTGTGAAATAGCCACTTTAATAAAGGCTTTTCACAATTTGAATTGGAAGTGTGTCTTTTTTGGAAAACAATAAAAACCAATTAAATCTTGAACTGTAAAGGCATCAGAAAGGAGCAAAACGCTTGACCGAAAGTATAAAGAAAATAAAAAGATAACCCGATTTAAAAGTAAACACTTTCCCAGCAGTTTAATTTACTTTCTTGCTCCTTCCATGCGCTCGGCACTATATAGACTGGGATATATCATAAATTCCAGTCTATTCTGATAACAGGAGCCCATCTCTCAGCTCCGCGGTCTGCAATCAGCCAAACGCCATCACGGATCCATTTACATGGAGCTTTCCTGTCGCACAAAACCGAACCACAAACCCCCGGTGTACGAGCTTCGTGCCAGCCTCTCCATGGCGGAAAAAGGCCTAGAATGCAATTACCTCCCCACCAACTGCATCTTCTGCGTCCCCGCAGGGATTTTTACAACATTTTATTGCCATCAAAATGTATTTTTCGAAGAAGACTGCGGATATAAACTCTGTTTATTACTTTGAAGAAGCTACAGAGGAACATATGGGAAGGTATGTGGCGTACGGGAAAGCGCTTACAGTCAAAGGGATTTAGGTTTAGCCTCAGTGTTTGAATCTGATTTACATCAGAGGACCGGCGCGGGGCACAGTTTGGCAATCGCAGCGCGTAATGAATGTAAATCAAATTAGTGAAAATAAACTACACACCGTAAACATCTGAAACTGAAGGATGACTGGTAGGGAACATGTCTATTTTGTTGAAAACAGAGCGGTGCAATCACATTCGTCAAGTTTTTCGAACCGCTGCGCAAAAAAAACATGTGGGATTTGATGAATAGAATTAAAAACAAAGAGCACATGGCACCAGAAAGCCCAACAGCACAAATCACCAAATGTTCAATCATAAATTAAAGCAATAGTTCGCCCAAAACTCATTATTTACTCTTCATTATGTTTTTCCAAACTAGCATGACATCTTTTCTTCTTTCATGTTAACACAAAAGATTCATTTTTTAAAGAATATCCTGGTCACTCTTTTCGTATATTGAAAGGAAATGAGAACTGGGGGTGTCAAGCTCCAAAAAAAGGTCAAAAAGCATCACAAAAGCATCATAAAAATGACAATCTTCTTTGGGAATGAAACTTTCTTTTGAGTCAGATATTTCCAATGAATCAGTTTATTTGGTTCACAATACCTGTTTGAAAGATTTTTTCATGAATCTGGCCAATCCACAAAACAATGTATGACGAGTAAAAAATTTAGAAGAGATATTTTGATTTTAATTTAGTGTCTGATTAAGCCACAATGTTATGCTATTTTGCAACTTACTGCTTTTGCAAAATAGCAGCAACAAAGGCATATCATTATAGATTGTAGATTGATTGCATCAATACAGGTCGTGTAAACACATTTTTAAAAATTATAAATAAATTATATTTACATTAAACAATTCATCAAGTCTCACTGAAACAGATTTTAGAGTCTGAATTTATCTTTTCTATCTTTATCTTTTACAAAATGTAATGATGTTCTTGAGAGAAATACCAGTGGGTGATTCACGAGTCAGATGTTTCCAATGAATCACTTGAGTTGGTGACAATACCTGTCTGAATGATTCGTTCATGAATCTGACTGATTTGATTCTCGAGTTCTCACTGACTCAATGTTCAGGTCTCCGCAGTTATAAGGTCACTGGAGAGGAAGATTTTTAGCAAATAAGAACTCAAATTATGGCAAGTTTCATGAATCATATGGACTAATTTAAGACAGTTTTATGTTTCTTTTGTGTCCTTTGAGAAGCCTATTGTAAAGAGCAGGATATTCTTCAAAAATAAACCTTTCCTGTTTAATACAAGAACAAAAGTCATACAGGTTTGTAATGACATGAGAGTGAGTGAATAATAACAGGATTCTCATTTTAAGGCAAACTATCCTTATATCTCAGCATTGACTGTTTAAAAAACATGCAAACACTTTATTTTTCCACCCCTCACAACATTGCAAAACAAAGGAACAAAGCTGATCTATTGGACATTGGATCTATCGGCTGTCCTGCATTGATCAAAGAAATAACCAGTGAACTCAGACAAACAAAGTCAAGACCTAGAAAAGCTCCTTATTTACGGTGCACAGATCCATGTTTGCATCCGTGAATCCCGCACGGAGAAGTACAGGTCAGATCTCATGGGCAAGATATCGAGCAGAACTGAACTTCAGCAAAGAAACCTCATTCCCACAGAACGATTCCTGAGAATCGATCCCACTTATCAACAAAAACCATGATCAATGACAACGATTAGCGGCTGGGCTTTCTGTGCCAGAAAAACAAACAAAAGTGAGCTGCGCTTCACGAAAATGCATAGGGAATGAGGCAAATGCAAAAGAGAGCGAGGGAGAGAAATGACAAAACCGGCAGTATTTAAAAGGTCTAAAATAAACAACACCAATTTACCCTTGCAAGTTTAAAGGGGTCATATGATGCTGCTAAAAAGAACATTATTTTGTGTATTTGGTGTAATGAAATGTGTTTATGCGGTTTAAGGTTAAAAAAAGAGGCCTTTTATGTTTTTTTTTTCCTTCTGTATCATTTAGCCCCTACTGCTAAAGAACAAAGGAGCGACCTTGGAAAGAAACGCAGGCATTTATGTTACGGAACTCTCCAGAAAATATAACCGGAATGCTTTGGCTCGGACAATGAAAACACAAAGATCCTTTTTCCTGAAGATCCACTTCAGGCTCATCTGTACAACTTTCTTATAGAGTTCGTCAAAAGGCTTATATAAACTACTCCATCATCACGTCATGTTCGAGGGAACGATTTGTTTTAAACTGACTAAACTCTCCTCTCCAAAAATGTTTTTTTTGACAGAAGACAGCTTTCAGCCATCATGAGATTATCTATCAGCGCCCATCTGTGTGTTTACAACAAAAAGCGATGATGTGAAAAATTATTTAATCGTCAGGTTTCCTTTGGGACGTGAATAATAAGAAAGTCGGGAGCGTTCTCCGACCACCAGGCACTTCAAAAGCTGCCGGGTGTCACATGCCAGATACAAAAAAAAAAGTGGCGTCAAGTACGTTGATAGATGGAGGGATGGAAAGATTGCTGACAGCTCCCTCCGTTTCTTCCCTTCTGATGCACTATTTCAACCGGGTATGTCACGGGAATGATGGCGCGAAGGACAAACTAAGAGCCTGTGACATAAAAAAATCAGGCTCCTGCAAATACAAATACAAGTGTCACAGAAACTACTTTGAAATTGCAACTTGCCAAGATTTAAGTCACTTGTTATTTAAATGACCAACCAATAGTAAAATATAGTCATCTATTCTACAAGCTTCAGACACAAGTATACTGAAGGCATTTATAAGGACCACACATTGGAGAAAAAATAAAAAAGAGCAGCAATTGTTTTGTAGGCCCAAAAATGAGGATCTGAATACTAAATGATAAAACCTAAACAACCTGACAAACACAGTATTTTACAAAATATTTTGGTGGAATAGTAGAATTTTGCAAACACTATATGAGTGATGACTGACATATGAATCACAGAATCGAATTTCTGAATGAACCAATTTACTGAATCAACCCATTCAAACTAGGTAAGCTGCAAACATGCTGACTTCAACTTTCTTAGCAAGATTGTCTTTAAACAGCTGCTCAATCAGAAGAGTAGCTGAGCTGAAAGAGAAAAAAGAAGACAGATTATGCAAATGTTTACTATAACGCCTATTTTGGCAATACTGAGAATACAATCGTACTTGTATTATACGCTTTCTCACAGTGTTAAAACCTGTGTACTTGTGTAGAGTATTCGCAATATGCAAAAAGGGTTTAACTACTGTCATGCTACTAAAGAAATAAAAAGAAACTAATTTTGGTGCAGTACTTTTTAGGGCTGGGTAAAAAATATAGATATCTCGATTTTAACCGATTCTCATTTTTACGGAACGATATCGATTCTTAAATTCGATTTTTTGTTAATGGACAGAACATTGAAGGGTACTTCCCATCCAATAAATTGCAATAAGCATTGTGCTTTGGTACTTTTAATATGAAACAGTCTCAGATTTCAAATTCTGTCCATTGTATTGCAGTATTCAAACAATAAATGTCGTTTTGGCGCTGTTTAATGTGAAGTGACAGATCGCTGTAGCGCGTTCAACAGACGCAGCAGCACGAGGTGCACGTGAACTGATCATCTTCTTCATATTAATACCAGTTTCAGCACAAAATAATCATGACTCAACATCCAAAGGCAAGTTAAAAGAAAGAGTTCAACTTTACAAACCGTATCCTGTCTCATGTAATCGCTCAATCAGTGTTTCAGCAGCGCAAAGACGTCAATACAACAGCTTGCAAACAATGTCACGTAACGTCACATTTACCTCAGAAAAACATATTCGGTGTCCAGAAACTCATTAGTCAGATAGAAAAATAAACTGTAGACAGGGTCATTTTGCTAAATGAATGCACCATATAACATAGGCCTGGGCGATAAAACGGTATCGATATTTATCGACGGTACACCTTCTTCGATATCGATAGAAAAATTGTTCGATATAGCGCACGATATAGGCACGTGCTATGAGTGACGCAGACAGCACACACAAACACGAACACATGCTGAAATGAGTGCTGTGCCTGCCTGTGACGAGGAGATTGTCAAATTTAAAATAAACATTTGCATTTGAATGTTAGGTGTGCGTCAGGGAGTGTCATCAGTGGCGCGCGAGATGCGGTGATGATGATGTAAGTGACGTTGTTGCATTGTCTCATATGTTTTTAAATGCAGTCTGTGTGAATGGCGCTTCGGCTCTTTGGATTAAGCAATGCATAAATACATGATGCTGTTTTGTTCATAATTGTTTATGCAATTTACGAAATTATATTTGATTTTTATGAGTTAATTTAGACGTAATGCACGCTTTTGTAGAGTTACTGCCTTGCGTTGACAATTTAAATTCGCTTCATTATTTTGCTCATTGTGCCCTCCTGCGGCCTCGGGAGACAATTAGACCTATACAATAAAGACCTATTTAATCTGCATATAAAACATTAGAAATTAGATATTTGTTTAATTTTTATTGTGTTTGACTGTTAAAACAAAAAAATATTTGTTGTTTGTCTCAATAAATTGTGTTAATTATAAATACAGTGATTAAATTAAAAAAAAAAACATTTCTTTTGCTTTTTGTTTTAAAAAAGGTTATAAAAAATGTCAATAATTATCGATACCGAACGATATGAAACATTAGTAGCCCAGCCCTAATATAACATATACATTATAATTTTTTTTACTGTTCTTCAATGTTTAATTTGTTTGAATAAATCCATGAAGTTTTTATGACAGCCACCATTTAAATGTTTATATTTAAAAAAACGAATTGAAGTAGAAATATTATTATGTAATTATAATAATTGTAACTTTATTATTTTAAAAACTTCATTAAGTGTAATTTTAACAGTTGTACTACAATTTTACCCTTAAATATTATAGTAATGTAGTACCAACTGACTCATCTCATGTATATTTTACAGCATTAGTTGAGAGTTATTTTTTTCCTTGAGAAAATTTGGCATGTACTGTACCTGATATGTATCCAAAATAATCGTTATAGAATCGAATCGGTAATCGAATCGCAAGATTGTGAATGAGAATCGAATCGAGAAATTTATGTCAAAACCCAGCCCTAGTACTTTTATATTGAAGATATTTATGAGGACAATATCTTGTAGAAAATTCTCATAAAAACAGAGCAGTAACAGCTTTGTGGGCCCAAAAACATAAATACATAAACTAACTAATAAAACCTATAAACACTGCATTGAAAACAATGACAAACTATTTTGCTAGACAAGTAAACAAAGAAAATGTACAAAGACATTCGTCATTTTGCAAAGAATTTTGCAAAAAAACTATATACAGTGGGTACGGAAAGTATTCAGACCCCCTTAAATTTTTCACTCTTTGTTATATTGCAGCCATTTGCTAAAATCATTTAAGTTAATTTTTTTTCCTCATTAATGTACACACAGCACCCCATATTGACAGAAAAACACAGAATCGTTGACATTTTTGCAGATTTATTATTCTGTGTTTTTCTGTCAATATGGGGTGCTGTGTGTACATTAATGAGGAAAAAAAATTAACTTAAATGATTTTAGCAAATGGCTGCAATATAACAAAGAGTGAAAAATTTAAGGGGGTCTGAATACTTTCCGTACCCACTGTATATGATATGAATTAGTGAATCTAATATCTGAATGAACCAATTCACTGAATCAAACTGTTCAAACCAAGTTGCAACAGTATTGACTTTTAACTAACTTTGTTAGCAAGACTTTCTTTAAATCATTGCTCAAATAAAATAGAAAACAGACAGTTTATGCTAATTTTGGCCAGAAAACCAATTGAGAATACAGGTCACTGCATGGTCTGACACATTTCAGAAATATGCACGATATTGAGTTTGCATAGTTGGAAGTGTCTGTGTTCATGTACTTGCGACAGTAATCGCAATACAGCATGACACGTTTCGCAATGCTTGCTAAATTTCTACTTGACTGAAATACTAGCATCTAAAAGCGTTATTTTGAAACCAGCTGAACTAGTGTTATATTAAAAAAAGTTATATTTTGCAATTTTAATACTTTTTACTTATACTGAATATTGCTTGTGGCGCACGGCTCATGTAGAGAGGCCACATGGATACACATACAAACAGTATGACAAAACACAGGATTCGCTGGTCTGAAGGTCAGCGGTGTGAGCGGCTTCACGGGTCAGTGTGATCTCTTTATGGCTGCGTCAGGTGCCAGCATCCCAAACCCTCAGACCGGGACTCCCTGGCGCCAACAGAGCTCTGGATGTCAGAGTCGGCAAGCGTTTGATTTAATCACATGTGTTTTGATCTACACCTCAACCAAAGCACAGGATCAAATAGGACTTGAGGTGCAGGATTTACTACATACATGCTCAAAACAATACAGAAACTTCCTAAACTACATTTCTAAGAACACAATTCTTCAAGAAACCAACTCAATTGTCACTAAGACATTTTTGTTGGACATGAACCATGGTAATACCACAGTATACAGTACTTTGAAGTAATACCACAGTATTTTGAAAAGAGTGGTAAAAAGAGTGGTTTTATAATTTTTATCTTTATTTCTTTCAGTCATGGTCAGTAAACAAAATACCATATGAAAGAAATATATAAACTCAAATAACCCACAGTTCAAATACCAAGAACTTTATGACTTTCTAACTGAAATGAAAACACATTAAAAGATGAATTTCCTATAATACAATAAGATTTGGAATGCATTACGAAAGCCAAGACTTATGCAAATTACAAACTCCATGCATGCTAACACACGCTGCATAACAGATCGTGTGTGTGTGTGTGTGTGTGTGTGTGTGTGTGTGTGTGTGTGTGTGTGTGTGTGTGTGTGTGTGTGTGTGTGTGTGTGTGTGTGTGTGTGTGTGTGTGTGTGTGTGTGTGTGTGTGTGTGTGTGTGTGTGTGTGTGGAAAATTCATTAGAAAAGAACAGCATCTATTTGAAATCTTTTCTAGCAAAATTTTTACTTTAACATTTAATGTGCCCTTGCTGAACAAAAGTATTGATCCTTGAAAAAAATATATATCTTGCTGACCACAAACTTTTGAATGGCACTGTACAATGACTAGATAAGCACATTTTGTTTTAGAAGAGAAATACTTCCATACATCCAAATCCAAAGTTAAAAGGTTGAGGAAAACCAGCATAAAAAAATCTCACAAAATGACTTGGAGTACCCAGAATTCCTCACTGAACAGAAACACACACAGCCCACTGAACACCTTCTGTTATTGTGATGGATGCCGTAAGGAGAAACTCAGCCTCTCCTGACCATTAGCTTCAGTCACTAAAACCTGTCACCACCACTTCACACATCGCTAAACCCTGTGCGTGTGTGAGGGTCAGCTGTGATGCAAGGGGTTAAACGCTGGTTAATCGCAGCTCTTTACCTAACCAGTCGTTAAACTTCTTGACCTCCGAGGGCAGGCCCAGCTCGGTGAAGTCCCCCGTGTGCAGCAGAACATCCCCGTAAGGCATCTGGATGCCATCTGTCCGTGAGTGTGTGTCCGACACACACACAAAACGCGTGTGGCCACTCGGCTTGGGACTGTCGTACGAGATGGGGTCCACCCTGAGAGCGAGAGTAAGTGACAGAGAGACAGATGGAGGGAGAGAAAGAGAAGTAGGGTATTTTATGAGCATGAAAATCAGCAGAAATAACTGTACACGATTGCTAGCCGGCTAGTTACATGAGCTCAGCGACGTGCTTCAAATCAGTCTGTCATTGCTATGCTCCTAACACGACAGAACAAACCAAAAAATAAAATAAAATGAGTGAATGAAGTAATCACTGTAGTGGCAAAAGTTTTATCTATAACAGATCCATGTGTGACAGAAACATTAAGGAACATTATTCATTGAATAACAGGTGTTGGAACTGAACCATATTTCTTATCATACACTAGCATTTTAAAGTCTGGGATTGGTAAGATTTTGTAATGTTTTTGAAGGAAGTCTCTACTGCTCACCAAGGCTGCATTTACATTATAACAGTAATATTATGAAATATTATTAGAATTTTAATTTAATAATTTAAATTATTTTCTATTTTAATTTATGATATCCTTCAGAAATCATTCTAATATGCTGATTTGCTGCTCAAGAAACATTTCTTATCATTATCAATGTTGAAAATAGTTGTGCTGCATATTTTTGTAGAAATATTTTTTCTTTAGGATTCGATGAACAGAAAGTTCCAAAGAAGAGAATTTATTAAACATCTGAAATATCCATATTGTCATTTTGATAAATTTTATGCATCCTTGCGGAATAAAAGTATTATTTTTCTCCACAAAAAAACAACAACAATTTGCCGACCCCAAACTTTTGACTAATAGTTTATAAATTATAGCCTAAATATTCTTGTATTAATTATCAATATCTAAATGAATATAAAAACAAACATAAATTATATTCTTATAATCTGGAATACAATCGTTATCAATTTTGTTTACGTCCATAAGTATGTAGGTAGGCAGACAAATAGAGCAATGAATAGATGGATAGTTGGATAGATAAACAGACAGATGGATATATAGATTTTTTGGAATTGGAATGCAAAAAAAAAAAAACTGTTGTTGCAGAAACATTTTCTCATTTGCATTCCATTTTGCGCAGGTTGGAAAATACAGAGTCGACAAAAAAAAAGACAGATAGAAAAAGAAGAAATATAGAGACATATATAAGGAAGAACAAACACAATAAGGTAAAACGAAAGAATGAAGAAAAAGAAGGAAAGAAAAAGCCACCCATTTTCCATCGTCACTGGCTCGTGTATCGGTCTGATTACATTTATATGACCGAGTCATATCTGAAATGAACCGCCTGCACAGAAAATCATGACACTTTAAAAAGGAGAGAGAGAAACAGGCGGACAGAAAATAATATTTGTTATTGATCACAATGCAGTAAATAAAAGCAGGCCCGCGCACTCACACACACACACACACACACACACACACATGTATATGAATCTATTAGAGTCAACAAGGTTTTTTCACATGGAAACAGAGCTGCGTATCTGTCGGTTCGCAGTCACCTGAACATGCGACTCACAGGATTCGTTTCACAAGCAAACCAACATTTTAATGCCAACATGAAATACAAATGGACATTTGCTTTCTTAATACACTTCTTATGAATTGTGAATGATTAACTGAGGCACATTTAAAAGAATGGCTTTTACATGAAAATCAAACCAGTGAGCATCAAGCATGAAGCCGGAGAAACAGTATTCCTGACCCTTAAAACTGGTTGACTCATTGATTTTTAAACATATTTTCATTTGAATAAAACCAATTTATTTACATGAAGCACATTTTTACCTAACAAAACATTTACCTCAAGGTGCTTAGCTTTCTAAAAGAAAACCGAAATCACCACAGCCACAAATATAGCCATGACCGGATAGAGCCTTTTGAATATTTGCTCATTGTTTTAAATATTCACTCAGTCTTTTAAATATTCATTAGGCGGGGGGAGAATAGAAAGGATTATTCGGACCAGGGGCTTATGGAGCCACTGAAATTGCATTAGAGCAAAACTGGAATGTGTGTGTGTGAGAGAGAGAGAGCGAGAGATTGAGAGTATGTGAAACTGAAAAAGGAAAGATATATCTTAGGAAACCGTCGTTCGAATCCACAGTAAAAGTATGGTAAAAACAACACTTAGATATGAGAAGCACAAACTTCCTCATGCCAGGAAAAGACCTTTATAAAACACACACGTTTAGACTCCGGATGCACCGTGGCTCTTTTATTGGATACATGTGTCATATTGCACAGGAAAGCGTTTTGATTTCTGTTCAAAGATACTCTATTTGACAGCGTTCACTTGATTCTTTAACCTTCAGGAACAACAAACGATTGAACTGTATCAAAGCTTCAAAAACAGCCACAGTTCATCTACTTCAGAGAGCCGAACACACGCATGCTATTTGTGGATCTCTCTTCATTCCTATGGCTTTTGTTAAATAGCACTACAAAACTAAGGTAGGGAACAATTAGCTGGTTTCTATTTGGACTTTTTTCCCTTTATAGCACAGTTAACATCACGACCCCAGTCCTCATGGGAAGAAATAAAGTGACAAGTGATTAAAGATATCCGATAAAAGGTATATCTGCCATACAAATCATAGTTTTTGTGTCAATCAAGTCACAATCAGAGCTAAAAATGAGTGACATTTTGTTGGTTGCTTGGTTTCTATTTCTGTATGCCGTGCTGGGTAGCTCCGCCCACTGCACACTCTCATTGGTCGAAAATCCTGCTGCACAGTATGTTAAACATCAAATATGTTCTGATTGGCTGTTTTGCATCGAGCAAGTGACACTCGAACTTTTCCAGATTATTTCTAACAGTCTATGAGCGAACATTGCATCCATTATCAGAGCAAAATAGGTTTAAAATCCACTTCTCTCAGAATTAAGCTTCTCTTTTTGAACCAGACTATTTCCATCAACATTTATATAGCCAGATCACATTGTGATCCCACCCACTCTTCATAACTGACAGAGGAAATGTTAGTCAATGTGCTTTACAGCACAGAGACACCTGCTGTCCAATAAGAAGAAAGAATAATTACGTTAGACCCTCCGTCCCCACCCCAGCACTCATTATGACATAATGATTGTCCGGTCAATAGCCGGTTAATTTAGAGCCTGACCTCTGGTCTACGGGTTTAAAGGCAGTGCTCCAACTGCTAATTAACATCAGATGCCCATTATCTGGGTTCTTATGCTAGTCAGAAACATTCATTTTACTAATATTACTCTTTGCTAATGTAAATGAAATCATTATCAAATTACAAAACGGAGACAAATCCAGACAAACAATTAATTGTAGATCAATATATCTGGTAAATGAGATGGTATTTTGGCATTGGTTTTTGAGGTTAAAATCTATTGACAATGAATGGATAAATCACTTGTTTTTAAAACAAACAAAAAAACAATAAATGAAATAAACAAATTATATATATAATATACATATAACTGATTTATTTATTAAGTACAATCATTTTAATTTTTTGTTTATTTTGAGCATTTCAGCATTTTTGCAAGTTTTTTTCCTTGGATTTTTGTGTAATCGTGTTTTTGCAATTATCTGAAAAAAAAAAAAAGATCCTGAAATGAAAAATAATAACCTGTTTTAATAATAAAAAAAGTCCTGAAATCAGGTTGATGCATTAATATTGAAAATAATATCATCACAAATATGATGGATAGATGTATGATAAAAATGTTATATTAATGTAATTCTTTAAACAACAATTATACTTACTGGAATAGTTTTTATTGATTTAACCTCACAAATATGACAACATCACAAATATGATAGACTGATGGACAGACGGACGGATGGACAGACAGATAGGACATTATATCGGTCAAATCTAAAACAAAAACAAAAATATTACAGCCATTAAAAGAAGACATGCAATTTCTTCATAGAAGGATAAATCAGAGCTCTGCACAGACTACAAGGAAATATTTCGCATTTCTCTCCTGCCATGGAAAGAATCCTTCTTTAATGTAGGAATTTGGTGAGAGAGTGACCGAGAGAAGAGCCAGAGTGAGAGATTGAACCCTCTGTGTACAGTATGAATATTTCAGAGGGCCGTGTTTTGTAGATGTGGGGCACAGGGCTGTGAAAAGAGTGCCCTGCAGTCAAGCCTTTGATGCGGATAGCACTGCCACAGCACTGATCTGCGGCAGGAAATGGACTTTTCAGGCTTATCTGCCTCACTCAGGGCCACGTGTGTGTGTGTGTGTGTGTGTATGTGTAAGTGTGTGTGTGTGAGATGTGTGTGTGTGTGTGTGTGTGTGTGAGAGACAAGCAGGGGCAGGAAGCTCCATGAACCAGGCCAAAGAATAAAAATGATAATGATAATCATCAAGAGGAGCCAAATATTTACTGGCTTTTCCACTCATGCAGCTCAGCTTGTACTGCTATTGGTGAAGAAACATCAAGCGGTACGTGCAGTCCACCACCTTCCCTCATACATAGCAATGAAATCCATTTCAGACAGAGAGACACAGCGTTTCTATCTTATCTTGTGCTTCTCAGCTGTCGGCGCTAATTCAATAAACTTCAGACTAACACAGAGAGCACAAAAACGAGAGAGAAAGAGAGAGAAGCTGGAAAAACAGGATGGAGGATGAGGATGAATGAGGAAACACTTCATGAACAAACATTTCAATTAGAACATGACAATTTGCAGCCCTTTTAGAAACCACTGTGTATTTCCACAGGTTGTGTTATTATTCAAAAATCTGCTGTATTGTAAGTCTAAAATCTATTTAAAATTAAAATCACAGTTTCATTTCATATTCCACCATCCTCTCAACTTTTCATGTTTTGATGTCATTTTCAGCCCTTTGCCAAAAAATATAATTGAGATTCACCACTGACAAGGATAAAAATGTGTAAAATAAAACAATAAGCCAAATTATTATTATTAGACAGGATGTGAAGTGTGGTAAAAATGACTAGCTATATTGCACAGCTTCCAGTGGATTATTGCGTCTATAAAAATGGTGACAATACCATATTGTATAATAAACATTAACTATG